GAAGGCCCTCACCAGATGCAGCCCCACTGTCTGTGACTTCCCGGCCCCCAGAACCATGAGCCAATGCAATTCTGCTCCTTATAAATCACCCAGTCTGTGGCATCGCATTATGGGAGCATCAAACAGACTAAGGCAGTTCACTTCTGGCAAGTAAAAGGACTTGCCCAGCCAGAAGGTCACCAGTGAGTCACTACAGGTGCTGGGTACCAGGTCAGTGAGGGGACACCCGGTCCTAGGGCTGCAGAATTCACCTTCGAACCCTCACCATTCTGCCAGGGTTCCCTGGTTGCTAGGGGGGACAACACTGTGTTTACACTGATGTACACTCAGGGAAATATTTGTATGTGTGGTGTACACAGAGAGTTCATCCAAACAGCTTCCTAGAACCCAGCCTTCCTGTCTCCTCTCTGACAAGGGCAGCTGAGAAAGCTGAGTTTGAGCTGGGATTAAGAAAGAAACCTGGCTGTTGCTGGGCCCAAGGGAGGGCAGTTGTCTTCCCAGACACATACACTGTTGTTCTTGGGACTCTGGCAACGCTGAGCCCGGATCTCGTGGACAGCCAACCCCAGATCACTCAAGGTCGGCATGGAAGGTAGCTGGGTGAACAAGCCCCCCAGAGGGGATACCAGAACTCTCCCAGACAACTCTGTGGTCCTGTTTACCCTGGGGCCTGACACCAACACCAGTCTCAAAATTCACCAGGGCAGGAGAGACTGTAGAAAAAGGTCTCCCTAAAAGTCCATAATGTTGTTTTGCATAATTTCCCAAGAGAATCAATCTGAGGTGCCGTTGTCACAAACAGAAATAAAAAGGTTCTGAGGTGACAGGTGTTAATTTGCCTGACCGTCGTGATCACATCACTGTGTATATGTCTACCTGAACAAACCTAGCAAACACCATGTCGTGCACCTTCCATATGCACAATTGAACAAAAGAAATAAAAGATCTCACACTCTGCCGAGCTCAAAACTACACCTAACGGAGCTCCATCCCATCTGTTAAATCACACTTTTTTTTTGAGTCAGAGTCACTCTGTTGCCCAGGCTAGAGTGCAGTGATACGATCATGGCTCACTGCAGTCTCAGCCTCCTGGGCTCAGGTGAACCTCCCACTTCAGCCTCCTGAGTAGCTGGGACTACAGGCACGTGCCAGCACACCCAGCTCATCTTTTTTTTATTTTCCAGAGACAAAGTCTCCTCATGTTGCCCAGGCTGGTCTCAAACTCCTGGCTCAAGTGATCCTCCCACCTTGGCCCCCCCAAAGTGCTGGAATGACAGGCATGAGCCAAGGTGTCCTGCCATGCACATGTTTTTTTGTTTTTTGTTTTTTTAAGAAACACCGGCAGAAGGTGGAGGCAGTGATTCGGATGTCCCAGTGGCCGGCCAGCGGGTGATAAAAGCCACCAAGTCAGGACTTCCTGATCCCTGGGGTGCAGGACAGCCAGAAGCACCAGGATGCAGATCTGTCTATTCCTCCTCAGCTAAGTGACTTCTGTCCTTTTGAGGAGACTCCGGTTTTGCTGACAAGTCACAGGAGCTGGATGAGGGTGGGAAACAGCCAGGCATGTCCCCGGCACGAACACATCTCCCAGGAGGGAGCTCACGCAGGGCAGGTGTGGGAAGACAAAGGGACAACAGGCGCCCACCCCCAGCGGGGCCAGGGACGCCCGACAAGTCCCTCAGGACTTGGCCATCTGCTTGTGCTGCTGAGATGCTGAGGACATCTGGCGACGCTCCAGGCTGAGAAATTCCAACTGTTTACGTGACCTTTCGGGGCTGAGGGGGGTGACCAAAGGCCCCAGGGACACTCTGAGCCAACTACAGATGGAAGGAGCAGCCTGGGGAAGAGGGGGAGGGGACCCTTCCTTAACCACATCCAGATGGCTTGGTCCCCACCCCCACATGGATAAAATGAACTTTCTGGAGCTGCCCTATTGCTGATGGGCGGCTCCTGCATCCTCAGCCCTCTTGTCCGGCTCACCTTTGCCATCTACCAGCTTCTGTGGAGCCTGGCAGGGGCATGCCCCACGTGCCCCACTCCCTGAGCCTAGATGCCATGTCTATACTCACAAAGTCAGCTCACTCGGGAGAGATCAACGTACATTTTTCAAAGATGTCAGCCCAGCTCCTCCCATCGTGGGGGGGTGGAGAACCAAACTGGGACCCCACAGAGCCTCGGACACCTACACGTACCTGGGAGCCCATTTTTTCCCCCAACCTTTCACTGAAGTCATGGGGACACCACCAAAGAACCCAAGGTCAAGCTCAAGCCCACCTGGGTGCAAGACCCCCTGGGAGAAGGCGGCAGGAAATCCAAGCCTCCTAGGTGAGACGAGCATGGGGGTTGCACGGACTGGTCTTGGCTGTGCTTCTGTTTGGCAGACACCCTCTCCACAGGGACAGGAACGAGCCCCGTCGCCAAATTCTTTCGAGATGAGTCTCCCCCAGGGCCGCCCTCCTCCACCCGGTCTCTGGGTTGAAGATGAACAAGGGGCCCTTGGAGCTGGTGTCTCCCCTCTTGCCTCTGTACCCCTGGCCCTGATGGCCTCCATCAAGCTCTGTCTTCCTCAGCCCCACAGAGAGCACTGGAACAGATTCCGCTCTGAGCAAAGAATGTGTCCACAGGAACTAGCAGGTTCCAGCCCTGGGACAGGCCTGGAGGGCGGGCATGGAGCCCCACGAGAACCATCTAGATGAGATGCTTCTGCAGGCCCCTGGGAATTCCCCAAAGGTGGGGCATACCCTGTCCTCCCTGGCTACAGGGTTCTCGATGGATTCCCAATGAGACAAGGGCCTGCTAAGCGCCACCAGTCCAGCTTCCAAAAGACCACTCCCGTTCCTCAGGAGGGTAGATGGCCACTGGGATGCTCCACCCTAGAAACTATAAAATCGGGGGCCCCTACAAGCCTAGAGCTGTGTCCTGAGCTCAGCCCTCAGCGACTAAGGCCTGGCAGCGGAAGAGACAGCCCAGCCCCGGCTTCGTGACTGCCCTTGGTACAAGATGCCTCCTCCTGGGCACATGGACAACATGGTGGGCATGGGCTTCTATGCCGGCTCCTCCCCATTCTCAAGCCTGCAGCCATTTCCAGCTACACCTCCGTGCTAATCATGGGTACCTCCCCCTCTGACCTCGGTACCCCTAGGCCCCAGGGTGTACCTCCCAACCAGGCCACAGCTCTCAGAGGGATGAGGACATCCCACAGAGGGCGGGCCCCCACCAAACTCACCAACTGAGGAGGAAAGAAAAATCTAGAAAAAACCATGACCAAAGTAATTCTTCCTAGCTTACCCATGATCCCGTTACCTAACACAGTTGGGTTTTACTCAACCGGAATGTCAGCACAGTGCTGTTTTATTTAATTCCCTTGACAGGGTTTCATAAACAGCCTTCCATGTTTCTAGCATTTCTGCAAACTTACTCCAAGGGTTGTGTAACAGGCAGAGAGGGACAGGACTGGAGTTCATGGTTTCCCACCCCTCCGCACGCCAGGCTTTTACAACGGAACCCACAGCTCCTGCCTGCCAATCCTCCACATGCTTCAGAAGGGCCTCTACCTCCTAAAATGTACTGAGTTCCTTTTTATCCCAGGCAAATGGACACACAGTAAGATGCTCAGATCTGCAGACAGGGCACAAAGGGCTTTTTTAGTTGTTTGTTTGCTTGTTTGTTTTGAGTTGGAGCCTCACGCTAGAGTGCAGTGGCACAATCATGGCTCACTGTAGCCTCCACCTCCTGGGCTCAGGTGATCTTGCACCTCAGTCTCCCAAGCAGCCGGGACCACAGGCGTCACCACACCCGGCTAGTATTTTTGTGTGTGATTTTTTTGTAGAGATGAGGTTTTGTTATGCTGTCTCCAACTCCTGGGCTCAACCAATCCTTCACCCTCAGCCTCCTAAAGTGCTGGGATGACAGAGGTGAGCCACCACGCCTGGCCAGGACACAGAGTTTTGAGCAACGTGTATCCCACCATCAGGGTCTAGAACAGTCCCCAGCTGATTCTTCACATATCCTAGCGTTGAGTTGTGTGCGGAGTCCATGAGGTCAGGTGGCCCCTGGAAATGACCCAGGGCATGGAGGGACAGGGGCCCAGGGACCCAGTCGTATGCCCTGCCACGTCCCCCAGGTGGCAGACACCCCCAGCTTCAGAAAGAGGATAAGAACGTGTCCTTACTGGCTCGATGATTGCAGGTTCTCCCTTCTGGCCTTTCTCGCCCCGAGGTCCTCCAATCTAGGGGTGACAGGAGGCAGACAGAGGGAGAAGGGGAGGGAGAAGAGAAAGGGAGGGGAAAGAAAGTCCAGATGACACAAAATCCGGTGAGTCAGCAAGGCAAGGGTGCTACCTGCAGCTGGGCCTCTTCCCCCAGGCCCAAAAGGGGGGAACAGAGGGAGACGGAGGGCAAGTTCACGGGAGCTCGTGCAAGTATTAACAGGCCAATATAAGAGGCCACGCATGGCTCACAGATGCTTATGCCACAATGCACACATAAGCACATCAAGTTCTGAGCACCGAGCTCTCTTTAAAAATAAAGTTTTGGGCTGGACATGGTGGCTCACGCCTGTCATCCCAGCTCTCTGGGGGACTGAGGTGGGGGGATCACTTGAGCCCAGGAGGTCAAGACCAGCCTGGGCAGCATATCAAGACCTCACCTCTACAAAAAATTTTAAAAATTAACCAGGTATGGTGGCGCGTGCCTGGAGTCCTGGCTATTGAGGAGACTGAGATGGAAGGATCACCTGAGCCCAGGAGGTGGAGGCTGCAGTAAGCTATGATCATGTCACTGTACTCCAGCCTGGACGACAGAGTGAGACCCCACCTCAAAAAGTAAAAATAAAGTTTTGGAGACGGCGTGCAGTGCTCTCGTTGCTGGCAGCGCCCCACCCCAAGAAGTCCCTAGGCAAGACCCCAACCGCACCCCCCGCATCTGAGCCCCGCCTAGAGGGCGCCTCCGCCCTCTCACCCCCTCATAGATGGTGTCCTGGTTTGCTGGCATCCCTGGTCCAATCTCTGATGGGGAGTTGGTGGGGTCGTAGTATGGGTCGTAGTAGCTCTCGTCGAGGTTCTTGATGGTTTCTTCTGTGAACTCCCCCTCCAAGTCATCCTGACCCTCCCGGGGAGGCAGTGCCGGCTGCAGAGGGAGAGGAAGAAGGGTCACCCGGAAGGGCCTGTCAGACACCATGCTGGCACCATGGGCACCAGGGAAGCTCAGACCCCTCCTTCATGGGAGACCCCGTCTGTGGGTTCTGGGTCCAACAACCCCAGACTTCAAGGCCAGTGGCCTCCCAAGCCACAAAGCACCTAGAGTCCGGAGCCCAACCTGGGGGGAGAGGTCCTGAGGCCCCTAGTAATCTTGTTGTTCTGTTTCTTAATTTGTATAAGATGGGGTCTCACTGTGTTGCCCAGGCTAGTCTGGAACTCCTGGCCTCAAGCTTCAGCCTCCCAAAGCATTGAGATTCCAGGAGTGCACCACCACGCCCAGCCCCCTGGTCACGTCTTTATACATCTTCTCCCTCCCACATTGGGGAACCGCCACCCCAGACCTGCCCAGGCACCATGGTGTGCCATGGACTCCAGGAGACTGTTTAGGCAGAGGCTCCACCCAGACCTCGGGGTCCCAGGACAATGCATCCCTAATGCCGTGCCCACAGATGCAGGGGTGTGCCCTGCGGAAACCGGGGTGTCCTCTCTGGCCGTGAAGATCCAGCACCAAATGCACAGCGGCTATTTTATCATTCGCTGTGCCGTGCCCGGCAAGACTCCTCCCGGCTCTGAAAACCACACAGCCCCAGAGGAGGCATCATCGGCGCCATGTTGTACACGAGAACCCCCAAATCCAGAGAGGCAGGGTCACCTTCCCAGGTCATGGGCAGCGTCTTGGCCAGCCTGCCTGACTCCAAGGCCTGCCTTTGTCACCAGCCCTGCCTGCCTCACCTTCAGCTCTGATCATCTGGACCCTCCCTCAGGGTCCTGTCTGCCAGCAGCCCCTTCCTTGGCCAATCTCCGCCTGAACCCTAAGAGACCTGCTCGGCCAGGGTCAACCCACTCATCTTTTTTTACTTTAGGGTTGTGGGGTACAAGTGAAGACCAACTACATAAGGAGGTTCGTGCAGGTGAAGTTTAGGCTTCTAGCAGGCTGTCTCCCCCCCGGTAGTGGACCAGGTAGCCAGTGTGTTGCCACCCACCCCCCATCTCTCCCCCTCCTCTCCCTCCCCTACAGTGTCCTGTGTCTGCCGACCCCACCCCGGGGCTCCTGTGACCAGTGGTGGGGCGCTTAGGTACGAGAACATTTTTCCGGTCTTTGTTCCTGTGACGGTTCACTTAGTATGATGGTCTTCAGCTACTCAGTGTGGCTACCCATCTTGCAGGTAAAAAATGGGCAATGTGAGATCAAGTCAGCAAGTCAGGATTCCAAACTCACTCAGCCATGGTACCCCCTGGGGAGCATTAAAATAGCCCTAGGGGGAAAGGGCCTTGGGACATGGGAACGTGGGGGCCACCCAAGACACCCAAGGCCGGCACAGAGAAAGAGGCAGCTCCTCGGGATCCTGCCCCAGTCCTGGCCCTCACCACCTCCCCTGGACCTCGCCAGCTGGAAGGAGAGAAATTACGTTGGAGGCATTGGAGGTGCCCAAGGTGCTGGTGGGAAGCTCCGCCCCCGCGTCCGGATCGGTAGGCTGGTCAGGGTTCTCCATGCCCTCGCCGTAGCCAAGGTCCTCGTAAGGGGGCGGTGTGTAGTAGTCTTCGCTGGGCAGGTAGTCGTAGTCTCCGATGCCCAGGTCCTCTTCCTTCCCGGCCCCCTCGCTGGTTTCAGGCGTAGGAGGGGCTTCTGTAGGGGGCAGGGTCAGCTCCTAGAGCCAAGGGCAGAGCGGGGAGGAGTCAGGGCCAAGGCCAGGGGGAGGGGCTTCTGGAGGGGCGGGGTCAGCTCCCGGAGCCAAGGGCAGAATGGGGTAGAGGCAAGGCCAAGACCCGGCAGGTGTCTGAGCTCAGGACGCCCCACGTGTCCAGGGACAGGCCCTTCTGCGGCAATGTCTGGACCCACTGGTACCCAAGAGGCCTTCAGACTTGGGACAGGGGCTGCCTCTGTCCCCAGGGGAGGATGGAAGCCCAGCCTCGACCTCTGTCACTGAGTCCGCTAAGAATGGACGAAAGCACCCAGTTTCACACTGGAATAAGTGAACCCTAACTCAAAGTAGCAGAACATTCCAGGCTCCCAGAGCAATATGGGATGGTCAGGTGTCTTTCTAGAAGGGCGCACGCGCGCACATACACACACACACACACACACACATACACACAACTCACATGTCCACCCACACCCACTCTCCTTGTGGCTCTGAGGATAGGGCGCCCTCTCCCCAGCAGACACCCCCTTCCCAGCAGGCACTCCCAGCTGGACACGTCCTTCAGATGCCTTGCCCTGCTGGCACACCCTGGAAACCCTCCCATGTTTAGAGGGAAGCACAGAGGGGAGAAGGCCTGAGACTAACCCCCAGCCCTCGCTGAGACCCGTTGGGGGAACCCCGAGCCCTCCTCTCCCGCCAGGGCCAAGCCTGCCTTTGAGGAACCCCAGACCCAAACTGGTCCTGGAACCATTCCAGGCCACAGAGCTGACACAGGGTGGGGCCCAGGGGCCAGTGCCCGGCTACACAGTGAGGGCAGTGCTCCTGTCACCTACATCTTCTGACATCCCTCCTCACAAGGGAAGCCCAACACGCCCTGGCCATGGGTCTCCGCCCTTCCCCAGTAGCTTCCTGCCCTCTACACTGGGCACAGCCTCTCCCACCCTCCCCCACCCTGGCACCATGGCCTCCCGGCACCAGGAGCCCACCCGGACCAGGCCGTTGAGTGCAGACCTCAGGGATCTCTGTGGTTTCTCTGGCAGCTTCCACAGGTTTCTTGGTGGGTGTGGGCTCCTTCCCCAGGTCTTCCGGGTCTTCATAGTAGGGATACTCGTAGTAATAGGTTTCCCCTTCACCATCTCCTTCCGGGTACTGAAAGGAAATGCAGTCACATAAGGGGTACTGGACCCCCATGCAGGGACCAGCCTGCTTTGCTTCCTCACACTCCAAATTCAGCCAGGAAGAGGGAACATCACAAAGTCCTGCTGGGGGGTTCCTGGGTGGGATCTTCCCTCCCCAGCCCCACATGAAGCCCACAGGAGGGAATGGGGGAACCCAGGTCCCCTTGAACAGAAGTTGGAGGAAGCTGAACCCTACCAGGTAGAGACATCTGACCCTTTGGGACCTGAAAGGTGGCTTCGGCTGGCCACAAACTGCCACGAAGCAAGTTCCCTGCCTCCAGCCCAAGCCACAAAGTCCAGGGACCCAGCAGGAAGGACTTGTCAGGGACACAGGAGAAAGTCTTGCCCTGAGACCATTTTGGCATCAGGAGCAAGGGAGGCCTGGTCTGCAGGACCTCGGTTGGCAGCTCCATACAGCATTCTTGGGATTTGTAAGATGTGGCCCGGGCCACAGATCCTACCCTGCCTTCTCTTCTGACGGGTGGAGAAAAAAGGCAGACCCAAGGAGAAATAAGTAGCGAGATTTAATATCATTTAAAATAAATGAGAGTCAAATTGGACTAGGAGTAGGACAGAATTTCCATTCAAACGTGGTAGAAAGAGCTGCAAATAAGGTAAGTCGAGGTGTAGCTGGAGTGGGAGGTGGGAGAGTGAAGAAGGATAAACCATGGGCATAGTGGACCCCCATAAGAGGGGCAAAGGGTCAGACATGTCGCTGCCACCCTGGGGATCAGAGGACCGGCCGTTCTACGGTGGACAGTCCTAAGCATCATCCTCTTTGGCCCCTTCATGGGGGTCAAGTCCACGGGGAACATTTGTGGCATCTCTGCTCACAAACACCCCCTGGAGGTTGCAAGCCCAAGGTAAGAGAGACACCTGGCATTACTCGTCTAGGAACTTGTCTGAAAGGTTAAAGGTAATTGACAACAACCTCTGTGGCACCATCCTCTGGGAAGCACTGTCTAGTAAAATGAGTCAGACTTCAGACATCACACATTTATCACCTGGGGCGGGCCCTACATATCCTAGTCTAGTGGATGTACTTAAAACGGGGGTCTTATGGCTCATGGGTCTCTCCACAACCACCCCACCTGCCTGGCCCCACCCCATCCCAGGGGGTCTGCCCATGCACCACCCATGAACCCAGCATGAGCTGACTCACATATTCATCTGGGTTGGGGTCCTGAGACTGCGGGGTGTCAGGGACCGCCGTGTCACAGTCGGGGCTGTAGTGCTCGCAGTAGTCGTAAGCTGCCCGGTGGTCTGAGACAAAGAGCAGTTGCTGGATATCACCCTGAAAAGGGACAAAAGCTCATGAGCAAGCAGCACGCAGGGCTTATAAACCCCACAAGGGGAGCTGGGAGACGCAGCCTGATGCCTGAAAGCAGAGGCAGCCCGGGCTAAATCAAGAAGGACTTGTCCTCACGGCCAGACTTCTTCCCTGGAAGCTGCCACCTACAAAAGCCACTCAGGCTAGGCTGGCCCACTCACCCATGCATCCATCTATCCACCCATCCACTCATCCACCCACCCACCCCTCATCCGTCCATTCACCTATCCAGCTGTCTCTCCATTTGGTGGACAGATCCCTCCATCAGTCAATTTCATCTGTCCTTCCATTGATCTATGCACCCACCGATCCTTCCACCCATCCACCCCCCCATCCATTCCTATATCTATCAGTCCACTCGTTCACCCATCCATCCATTCACCCACTGGTGGATGGATTCTCCCACCAATCTATTCCGTCTATCCCGCCCTCAATCTATTCATTCATCCATCCATTCTTATACTCATACATACACACATCCACGCATCCATCCATCTACCCCTCATTCATCCATCTAGTCATCCACCTATCTTGCCACTGGTCGTTCCATCAATCTATTCACCCATCTATCCATTTATCCATCTATCCATCTTTCCACCCACCCATCCATCCATCCATCCATCCATAGATCTATCCATCCACTTATCCATCCATTCACCCACTCATTCACCCATCCATCCATCCACCCATCCATCCATCCATCCACCCATCCATCCATTCACCCACTCATTCACCCATCCATCCATCTATCCATCCACTCATTCACTCATTCACTCACTCATTCACCCATCCATCCATCCATCCATCCATCCATCCATCCATCCATCCATCCATCCCTCCATCCATCCACCCACTCATCTGTCCATCTGTCCATCCATCCATCCATCCATCCATCCCTCCATCCATCCACCCACTTACCCATTCATCCATCTATCCACCCATTCATCTGTTCATGCATCCATTCATCCATCCATCCATCCATCCATCCATCTATTCATTCACCCATCCATCCATCCACCCACCCATCCACCCACATATTCATCCATCCACACCCATCCAACCATCCATCCATTCACCTATCCATCTATCCATTCACTCATTCATCCATCCACCCATCATTCCATCCACTATCCATTCATCCACCCATCCATCCATCCACCCATCTACTCATCCATCCATCCATCCATCCTTCCATCAATCTATTCACCTATTTATATACAACCCATCTATCCACCCATTTATCTGTTCATTCATTTATCCATCCACCCACCCACCTGTCCCTTAACCCATACTTTTATCAGGCACCAGCTGAGCACTTGCCAGACACCAACCAGAGCTCCAAGTTTTTATCTGTTGTGAGGAGCATAGCTTGCAAACTCATCCACTGTAGACTGTGATGGTTTTTATCCTTCCTCATCACCTTTCAACCACTGTGGTGGGGGGAGTGTATTTTTAAAGAGGCAATGCTTAGTTCCTTAAAAAGTTAAAAGTGGAATTACCATAGGCCCCAACAATTCTAATCCTAGGAACTGAAACAAATACACAAACAATTCACCCATATCAGTTCAACCAAAAACAAAAACAAAAAAAGAAAAGAAAACAGAGACTCAAAGTAATGCACATGTGCTTAGAAGCAGTATTCACAATAGCCAGAAGGTGACAGCAACCCAAATGTCCATCAATGGATGATAAATAAACAGAATGTGGTATACACATAGAACAGAGAATAATTCAGCCATAAGAGGGAGCGAAGCACTAATACATAATACGACGTGGATGCCCCCACACTAAACTTTCTAATCCATCGTGCAGTGTGTACTCCCAGCAGCTGACGGTCTCACTGTGTCAGCTAGGACAAGCATGCAATCATGTATTGCATTCTTCTCTTGTCAAGGTATGCAGGCAGTTGAGAAATTAAAGGGCTGCTACCAGGAATAAGCAGCACAGACCTCATCAACGTATCTTCCAAGACCAAGATGGCAAACCAACAAGTATGCTGGGTGTCACCCTGGCAGCACCTGGGTGATCCCCAGCAGAGGATGTTTTGGTCCTAATCAGATGGATATGAGCCAGCCAATACAGTAATGGTTTTAGTAATGATGGTGACTATGATATAGACAGTGTCTTCTATAGATCAGGCACTCGATAAGAAATCTGCATGTGGTCTTTCTGCATGCCCACAAGAACCCTGTAATTATGTTCTATTAATCTCCATTCTACAGGTGAGGAAACCAAAGCCCTGAGAGGTCACCATCCATCAATCTACTCACCTATCCATATACCACCCATCTATCCATCTACCCATCTACCTATCTATCCATCCATCCACCCACCCAACCATCCATCTATCTATCCAAGCACCCATCCATCCACCAATCCATTGATCCATCCATCCATCCATCCATCCATCCATCCATCAATCCATCCACCCATCCACCTTCCACCCACCGACCCATCCATTCACCCATATATTTATCAAACACCTGTTGGAATCGCCCAGGGCAGGGCCAGCTCAAGGCCTCCTGCAAGGTTTCAGCTCCTACATGATCGATCCCCTGGGCACAAGGGAAGGGAAGAAGACACAGAGGAGCATGTTTGGCTATTAGAATCTTGTCATTGGAGATGGTGCCCAGGCCCAGGGTTCTCAGGGACTGGGCCAGGTGTTGAGTTCTCTGGGCCCAGAGCCCATCTCACTACACTACGTCACTATCTGCACACTTTTCCAGAATACACTACGAGAGACAGTTAAGGAGAGGCTCAGGAACCTCTGTAAATCCTCACCCAGTGGACTGCAGGGTCAGGGTACCTGGCCCTGTCTAGAGGGCAGTGTGTTCTCTACGGTTTATCCTGAGCCCGCACTCCACTGGGGCACAGGCATCACCTCCCCTGTTGCCAAGTGACTAAAGACAACATAACCCCTTCCATTAGATGGCTGCACTGTGGCCCACAGCCCCTGGAAGTTTTGAGGTGGCTTCACACTGTGTACTTCTGACCCTGGCGAGTCACCCTCAGGCCCTGAGTGCCAGGATGCGGACAGGGCTGGGGGACATTCATGGCTGTGAGCTCCGTGTGCACACACTGGTCATCATCTCAAGGGCTGCTCTTCCATAGAGACCTTTGATGTGGGGAGCTGGCCAGGTGCTGAGACTTGGATGGACAGGTAGGTGGCCAAAACTGCTATACCCAGTGCCATATGAACTGGCTACTGTGGCACTGGGAGCCCATTGCCAGGTGGCGAGAGTGCCAGTCCACAGGGGTGCATAGGGGAAAGGGCATACCCTGTCCAGCCAGACAAGCCCGGCTCACATGCCAGCTCTGCCACTTCCTGGTTGTGTGACCTGAGATAGGTCTGTTCACCTCTCTGAGACCTACTCTCTCTCTGAAAAAAAATGAGCATGAAAATGTATTATCCACCTCACAGTACTGTGGAGGTTATGAGTGCTTCAGGCAAAACTCCTTGTACACAGAAACTGCTCGATACATAAGAGAAAAGATTTGGGGATCAATGGGGGAAGGCTTGTGCTCAGGAAAAGTCCTGAAGGGACAGTTGCATATGGAGTAGCTGAGGAGCTGCAGGGATCTCAGGCGGGACAAGGAGTGGGAACCACAGCAGCCAGGGCAATACTTCTAAAGAGAGGCAAGGAGGCACATGCATGCAAGAGCCAAGGGGAAGACCTCAGGGCCAGAAGGGGGGCTCAGGGAGGACTCCACAGGAAATGGCTCTCAGCACCCAAAAGGGGAAGAAAACATGGGCATGCTGATGTGATTACCACAGGTGAAGCACCTTGGCTTTCCCAGCCACCTACTTATCCATCCAGTCATCCTAGTATCTATCCAACTATCCATGCATCCATTCATCCAAGTGTCCATCCATCTACCCACCCATCCATCTATCTATCCACCCATTCATCCTAGCATTCAGCTACCCATCCACCCATCCATCCATCCATCCATCCATCCATCCATCCATCCATCCATCCATCCATCCACCCATCCAGTCAGTCAGCCAGCCAGCCAGCTATGATCCAAGTACTCACCAATGCGTCCATCCAAGCATCCCTCCATCCTTGCATACATTTGTCCATGCATCCATCTAAACACTCATCCTTCCATCCAACTATCCATGCATCCATCCATCCAAGTGTCCATCCATCCACCCACCCATCCATCTATCTATCCACCCATTCATCCTAGCATTCAGCTACCCATCCACCCATCCATCCATCACCATCCATCCATCCATCCATCCATCCATCCATCCATCCACCCATCCAGTCAGTCAGCCAGCCAGCCAGCCAGCCAGCTATGATCCAAGTACTCACCAATGTGTCCATCCAAGCATCCCTCCATCCTTGCATACATTTGTCCATGCATCCATCTAAACATTCATCCTTCCACCCATCCATCCATCCATCCATGCATGCATTCAAACATTTACCCATGTGTCCATCCACCTATTCGTCCATCCATTCATTCAATAGCCATGATTGAGCACCTACCAATTGCCAGCCACTTCATCACACACCAGAGACGCAGCTATGACTCAGAATCACTGCCTGAGTGACAATCCCCACATTCTCCCTAGCATCACGGACTTGCCTGTGCCCTACTAATAAGATCACATTCTGCATAGATCATGTATTCGCTAAGCTTCCTCTAATGCCCACATGGGTCCTACTGTCCCTTCCTGGACAGGAGTCTGGGGCTGACCCCGCCCCTGTAACCCCAGCTCTGCTGTGCTCTGGCAAAAGGCATGTTCTGTTCCTGAAGGCCAAGGTCAGGAGGAGAGTGAGAGAACACAGTGCCCTGAGCTTGACTCAAAGGAGCTTGTGGTCATCCCACACCTGTCAGAACCACAGGACCATGCAGGAACACTGCACCCTCTCTGCCTTCCATTGGGCGAAGTGTGTGAGCTCTTCTCTCTGCCAGATCCTGGGCCATCCCTAGAAGGCAGAAGGACACAA